AGGGAAAAGAAAAAATATGAGAAGAGGAAAAAAATGGAAACAAAGTCTTTGCAAATAGGGAAGGGTGGAGGGGGTAAAGGGAGGGCAGGGGAAGGGGAAAAAAATAAGAAACGAGATACTCATGTAATGGTACAAGATCCCAATGATGAATGTAACTGTATTTTATACCTAAAATGTACCAATAAACTTAATGGGGTAAAAAAAACACAACTCCATCAGCAAAGGTGTTCTAATCCTTTCACTTCTCTGCTACCCTAAGGCTAAAGAATTTGACAATTAACACACATTTCTACTCTCTTCCCCACTGCAGACCTCATTACACTGTATTAAAATTATTTTACTTGTTAAACTAAGATCAATTAAGACAAAAATTTTCTCAATTCCAAGCAGACGATCTGATGATTAATATACATCAAAAAATTAAAATATACTACTAAAAATATTTATCTGATAAGTCAAATCACAGTAAAGAGAATTAAGACTTTATTCCTTAACTCTTTTAAGATTATAAAACTGAACTTTAATTACTGGAGTAGTTTAATATTTTGGATTTGGTAAGATGACACTATTACATGTAAAGAAAAGATAATATTAAAGCAACTGAGAAATTTCCTACCTAAAATTAGAACTTTATGAACACTGAGTACTTTTTTGTGAAGAGAATTTTTTAGTAATTTATTAAGTGGTTTTTTGCAGATAATCAGATGTATTTGTTTTGTTCTGTAATACAAAACTGCTTACCAAAAGTTTTAGCAGCTTGGATAGTTTCCCTGGATCCCCGAACTGTCATAATTTGAGCCAAAGCAGTTACATCATCACTTGCTTTATAAAATGGATACCGTCCACTAAGCAGAGAAAGGAATATGACACCTGCAGACCACATGTCAATTGCTGTAATAGAAAACAAACTTTAAAATAAATTCCACATATGTAATTTCACATCTAAATAAGCAGTTCTTGACATTTACCGTGCTTTAACATTATCTTGACAGTCTGAAAAAATTCAGATGTCCAAGCTCAATCCTTTAGAAATTATAATCAAACAGTTGAGAAGTACGTATTTTTAAAGGTTCCTCTGATAAGTTTACTATAGTCAGGATTAGTGATTCAACTTCCTTACAAAACACAATATTTTCTCTCTTGAACTCTTTGGTAAGTTTAAAAGGATACTTCCCCATTAAAAAACTCTAAGTAAATTACATTTTATAAGAGTAAAAGCAATCATGGGCCGGGGATTTAGCTCAGTGGTTCCGGCGCCTGCCTCGCAAGCACAAGGTCCCGAGTTCGATCTCCAGTACCAAAAAAAAAAAAAAAGAGCAAACGAAATCAAAAATAACTGTGGAAAAAAAATCTGGATATTCCTTAAGAACTATAGCCAGAGGTGAAAGTATTTTCATTTTAGTATAAAGTACTGAAAATTAGAAGCTCTAGTCAGATGCTAACATCAACTATTACTATAGAAGCTTTAATACTCTTCTGAATGCTGGAAGTTAAGATTAAGCCTAACTCAAGCTTTCGCTCTGAGTTCAATCCCAGCAGTGCCAAAATCAACACCACCACCCAAACCAGGAAAACAGACTAGCTCAGCTTCATGTTAAAAAGCTCCTTTTCCTCTCCTTTAGGGATATCTTTTCCTAACTGTTGAACTAGTATTACCAAGTTACTGTTCTCTCTACCCTTAGCCACTGATTACCTGCCTTTCTTAGATCCATTTGTATCTGCCTGTTCTTTCCATGTTTTTTCCAAGTCTTAAGTGCTGAGTTTCCTCAGAGTTCAAATCCTTGCCATGTAATCTGATTGTTCCATTCATATCACAGCCTCAGCTACCATTTATATAATGATAACACTTAACTGTATTTCTAGTTCAGCTCCTTCCATGAGCTTCAGACTTACTTTTTATTGTGCTGGACATCTCTATTTGGATGTGTCACAAATATCTCAATCCAATCATGTCCCATCCCAACTTTACCTATTCCTGTAAAGCAGTTACCTCTCTTTTATTCTCCACTCTGGATACTAGTATACATGGAAATTCCTCAAGTAGGAATCTGGTAAACACCCCTGATGCTTTTTTTCCTCACCATTTCATCACACCCAAACTCAATAGCTCATTACCTAACAAGCTGTCTTTCCAATTCTTTCACCTTTCTATTCATTCTTGTTACCAAGGACCCTGTTCATGTTTTCATCATCTCTCACCTGGACCACTGCAGGCTACCATCTTCCAAAATCTAGCCTCTCTGCATGCCTGCCAGAATGACCTATCTAAAGACAATATCACCATCTTTTCCTCTTATAAAACTTTCCATAATATACAGTCCAAACTATTTAACAAGTATGATCTTACCTTGTGTACTTCTTTTACATTTATTTCTAACCTTCAAGTTGCACCTTAAATTCTAGAAACATTAATCTTTTAGTGTCCTAGACTATGTTGTTTGAGTTCCTCAGCTCATGCCTCAATGTTAATCCCCACTACAATTTAGTCTTATCACAGAGATCATCTTTTCCATGAACTTCCTGTCATAATCTCTTTGAGCTAGAATAGCTATCTCTTAAATCCTTTATATAAGGTTTTATCACCATACCCAATAGGTTATTCTATAATTACTATGTGAGAATCCACCCTAATTAGACTGTGAGCAGATGGTCTCATTCATTTTTGCATCATTAGCAAGCACAGAACAGATACACAATGAATGAATGTATTTGTTCAAAGCCTATAATCCAAGTGAATAGCAGGATTCATCTATCCATTCAAAAAGATGTTACCTGGGTTCTAGCTTTATGACAACTTTTAGATTACAGAATACTTTTTTCTTTTCCAAAATCTTTTCATTGCTAATCATACTGTTTTCACACTAACAAAAAGTAATTCTAACCAAATACAATTATATCTGTACCACAAAAAACTGAAGTATTAACTAAACAGATAAAGTGCTACAAGTTGGTAAAAACTACTAAACATAATTTATTCTCCATAAAAATGATAGTAACAAAAATCACCTTGTAAGCAAAACACTCTCAGAAAAAAATTATTTAAAAAAAAAGCAACATTAGGATCAGAAACTTTCATAACATAGTATTATCTCAAAAATGGGAATGCTACACTTCTAGGACTACTTATGTAATTTAAAAGCAAGAGCTCAAATATTACTCATAAATAGCTAAGAATCATAAAATACAAGGGCCGGGGATTTAGCTCAGTGGTTTCGCCGCCTGCTGGGCAAGCACAAGGACCCGAGTTCGGTCCCCAGTACCAAAAAAAAATAAAAAAAACTATCACATAAGATACAATGTATTTGGGACAAACCATTTGAATTGGTTTCTGTATTTCCAGTGCAACATACCTGTAGTTTGATTTGGGCATTTTGTCAAGACCTCTGGTGCTCTGAATCCTGGTGTACCTGCCCTAGGGGCAACTTGCTGATGCCTTATGATGAAGAAATAAGATTTCTCTAGTTAGGTTATAGTTATGATAAAGTTGAACTATTTAAGTCCAAAAAAGTATATTTATCAATTTAGTTCATAGTAAATTTTGCCTTGATATAGATATAAATATTATTATAAAGCAAATGATAATCTAGTGTGATGAACTACCTATATTTTATTCTACTACATTCCTGACCTTTTTCTAAAAACACAAAAAGAGATGGCAAATGATAAAAGCTATAATAGAAAAACAGAACATAGTAGGAATTTGTATAAAAATTCATTTGTTTTGGGGTGATTAATCATTATTCTCTCATATATTTGAATTAATCAGGAAATGCTTTAAGAAAGCCAACTCTTAAAGGAAAGGGAAAAATTTTTGAGGCAAAGAGTTGAAGGTGGGAGTAGGAAAGGAGCTCTATTATTTGGTTCTGGTTATTCCTCATAGGCAGAAATACAGAAAAACAGAAAAGATTAAATCAGGGCCGGGGATTTAGCTCAATGGTTCTGCCGCCTGCCTGGCAAGCACAAGGTCCTGAGTTCGATCCCCAGTACAAAAATAAAAAAGAAAAGAAAAGATTAAATCAGCAAGCAAATTGTCAATTCTAAGTTTCTAAAAACATCTAGTTTCTACTCCCTAAATTATCTGTGTATTAGCGCAAATGTGTTCTCTAAAGAGCAAATGCATGTTAAATAAATGTATGACAGAGTCATGTGCTCTTCAAGGCATTGCTCTGTATCAATGCCTATGTAGTTTACAGATCTGTTATTTCCTTTTACTCACTACATAAACTGCCCATCAAAATTAGTTCAATTTATAATCTTGTCTGGCAGCATGCTGGTGATTTTATAGCACCAGTAAAACACATTACCTTGAAAGGCAAATACTGCAAACTTTATCTGTTGCATAGCAGTCACAGGTCAAGCTGGCTGGGCAAGAACTGGCAGTTTTCTTTACCACACCACTATTCATAGCTTTTGTAGAAATAGCCTTCTTTTTTGTTGCTAATTTTCTTGATCCTACCTCCATAGTCTTTGACTGCTTTACAAGCTATAAAAGAAAAATCATTTTTTCTATTTCAGTGATAGGATATGATACCTTCAAATGCTGGTATAGCAAAAAGTAGTAGCAGAAGAATAACCTTTAAAACTTCTGAATGTGCTATTGGATTATAAATAAACAGTTACCTACTAAAATGTTTAAGATCTTTCTGAGTTTTTTTTAAACAAACAGTAAAATTTATTAACTGGTTTGGTAAATATTTGACTTACATTTTATTAGAATTTTTGCTGATATATTAAAAGGTATAACAGTTATGTTCTAGTGTCTAACTCCATTTCAGAACAAACTGCACAATTACATTGGCTAAAATCAGTTTTAATTTATTCAAGTTCTCTAGCTTTCACAAGATATCATTAGTCAATTTATAAGCATCTAACATTGACAATTTTGTTGACTTTATAAACACCTTTATACCATCATTTGTGCGTCAGAACTGTGAGGTGTGGGAGCTCACAATTCTGGTAATCTTAACAGAGAAGGTCTTAAGATTCTAAATAGTTCTGTAGGAAAAGAAAAACAGCTAGCCAAAAATGATAAAATATTTCACCAGAAAACTTCAGGAAAAAAATTGGAGAATAAAAGTTTTGATTAAATCCTCAAAGCAGTATCTTCTGCCAAAGCCATACTCTACTTAATAAATACCAATCTAGTCATTTCCTAAATTTTCTTCAGTGTACGACTGACTGACCATTGAACTATTGAGCTATATTACTTACTTTCACTGCAGGGCTCTCATGTGAAATGGAGCTGTATATATTGAAATTTCTTTCTCCAAAAACAGAGCGCTGGGCAGAAAGGCCTACAGATCCCTCCTACAATACCAACAAAAACAAGGAAAATAAGGATTATATCTGTAACACTTTCTGCCAGCTGTACTCTGCCATAGTTTTGAAAGAGTTAAGTGACATGAAACAAAAACAGCTGCATTCAAGACATTCTCAGGCACCAAAACACTTCTGTGAAAGGAGAAAATAGTCTAGACAGAACTCTTAACACCCATACAATGTTATCATCTTTCACAAATATATATAAACAGAAAAATTAAAAAACCACCTGCATAGATGCTACATTTTGCTGTGCAGCTAAAATGGAGATAGACACTTCAGAATTCTATCCCTATAACTAATGCTTTTTTTAAAAAAGCATAATTAAGCTGAACTTTATAACATGCAGGGAAAATTTATTATTTTCCATTTTTATCATAATTTTAGACTGTATGACAAAGATTATCAAGAAAGTAAAAAATTTTCATTTTGAAACAATAAAACAGCTCAGTATAAATCTCAGTGAAAATCTAATCAAATGGATACATACAACAAATGTTTAAAAAAGCTTAATTACAGGTACTATCTTAGTATTAAATCTCCTGTTGAATTAAGGAGCACATTTCTAAGACAGTATGACAGTGGTTCTTAAAAAATATAAAAGGTAAAACCTTTCCATCTTTTCCTTGATTAATCTGAATTTGTGCATTTGTGTAGGGTCTTTTGATAGAAGTTTTTGTGGTGGACTGCTGATCCAACTCCTTAGATGCTGAGCCACTCAATGAGATCTTGTTTCCAATGAGTATGTGAGACTTGTTCTGTGAACAACTTTCTTGCTCAGCTTCAGACTGGACCAATTTGAGAAGCTCTATTTTTGTATCATGGGTTCCTTGGGCCAAACCAAAGTCTACCAAGGCATACCTAGGAAACAAAATTAATCTTTACTTTTCTTTAACAATTAAAGCTTAGTAACACTGTAATAATTGCAAAAAAGTTTTAATCTTCTTACCATATTCAATATAATCTATTATATAAGTAATAGTATTTCATTTTCAGCTTACAATGCCTTTATGGGTATAATGAGCACAAAAATACACATAAAATCAGAACTCTGCTATAGAAACAGGAAATTAGCTATCATGTCATCAAATCCCCTCATTTACTAAAATAGAAAAATGAAGCCTAGAGATCAGACACATATGTAAGGTCAAAAAGAACTGAATTCTTTCCAACTTTCTTTTAGCAAAGCGCTCTTTCTGCTGATCCATATTATATCTAATGATGTATGTTACTTTACTACTGCAATTATATTTTCTTCATGCATTTCTTTTCCCCAATCACAATAAAAATTTTAAACAAAAATAATCTGTACAAAGCTGTTGTAGTATGTTTTATATCTAAGAGGGAGATTCCATAACATAAACACATAACTGTAAATATTCTCTAGGAATTCTTCATACTTACTTTTTTAGGCGTCTATTATATAAAAAATTACTGGGCTTAACATCACGGTGAACAATACCAAATTGATGAATGCGTTTCAAAGCTTTGAAAAGATTAAACATATATTCTCGTACTTCTTGAAAGGAAAGAGAATTCAAAATGTCCTAAAATAAAATTATGAATAAGGTCACAAAATTGTTTTCAATCAAATATTTAGCTACTTAAAATTCAAGAAATATTAAAACCTACCAAAAAAGGCTCATGCTCCAGATATGGCATAGCAATAACAACATGATCATTTTTCCTAAAGCAGTATTTAACTCCCATGACATTGTCTTGCCCCCTAGTGGAAAAATGCACAATGAACTTTAGAGGAAAGGTTAAACGAACTAGAACTTTATACTGTATTTTTTTTAAAGTGTAATTTTAGCAATGCATACATGCTACTAGAAAACTGACTTGAAATCATCATGTAAGATAGTGTAAACATTTAACTGACTTGTATAACAGATAAAGTTTTAAGTAAAGAATAATAAGTTATAAGGTTACTATAATAATTCAAATATGAGACAATTATAGTTTTAACTGGGAAGTGGTAGAATGAAAATGATGTACAAAACCCAGTTAAAAGACTTAGTAGCTGATTTAGTAAGGGTAATAAACAAATTTTTTTTTTTTTTTTTTT